CTGAGCCGGTGAGATTTGAACCGCCGAACTGCAGAACTGCAGTCAGCTGAAGTAGCCTGCAGTGCTGCATTTAACCACTGCACCACCTCAGCTCTTGTTGGTATTATCAAGAAAATTTGCTTTTCTAGGTGTTTTGCTGAACCAACCTGGTTCTTTTTTCTACTTTCCAACAGAACAATGCAATAATACAATTTTGCTACACTGTGTTTGACCTAGCAAATAAATACTTAATGTATGGTTCTGTAACCCCTTTTCAAGAGAGTTAAAAGATGATTGGGCTGTTTAAGCAACTGTAAATTGGAGCATACTTTGTACAAGATAACCTACCATAGCTGTCTGGTGACTTAAACTGGATTTTTCTGACATTCTGAGCTTCTGTTATCTCTGCAAGCTGTTAGGAAGAAAAGCTGGATGGTTTTCCTTCATGTTGCAAAGCTTCGGATGAGCTTCTGTTGAGGTCCTTTCCAACTCTACAATTCTCCTTCTGCCTTAACTGAGCAGGGTCATGTGGCTTGATTTTAAATTATTTGTCATTTCCTACTTCTAAAATATTGGAGAGAAACCATTTAGCTGGCCCTTTCACTTTGGAGAGGAAAAAAGGAAACTGAGTTACTTTTAGGAGTGTTGGCGCATGATTATATTCACCTAAATATACTTTGAGAATAATTAAAAATGCAACCTTTTTGTAGTCGGTTCCTATCCGTTGATTAGATTCTTCCCTAAGTAAGATTGAAAAGTATGTTGAGTTGAATAAAAATGAGGAAAAAATAATCTGAAAGTTTTGGATACAAAAAAAAATATGTATCCAGTCTTTGTAAGCAAGTATCAAACTGTGTAACTCTTGTTTCAGACAAAGTGTAAAGAGTTTTGAACAAAGTTCTGTGACATAGCTTTCCACACAAATTTTGTAACAAATTTTGTTTCCTTTTTGATACAATGATGCTGGTTGTGAAAGATTTTGGTCCCCTTTCAACTGGCAGAATCCAGAACACTGTTTATCTGTTTTACAGAATTAGAATTTTCAGATACATCTCCAGATTCTCTTTTCATTTTAGTGAGCAAATGAATAGTAGCTGAATCCTTTTTTGGCATACCACTTCATATTTAATAGCCTTGCTTAAATAAATAGAATAAGCTACAATTGGAGAGATTGGTTCATGTGACTTTGATAAATTTGTGCTCACAGAAGTGAGAATCTGTCTGTCTGTCTGTCTATATCTGTCCATCTTATCTATCTATCCATCCATCTTCTATCTATCTATACATCCATCCACTTACACACATATACTCGTATGTATATTTATATATTATATATTATTTTCTATTCGACATTCTATTATATCATGTATATTATATCATATAATGTATTATATACAATTGTATTCTATTGCATATATTATATCATATTACCATCTTGTTAAAGCAATTATTAGGGACAGGAACTAGCCAGATTTCCCAAGTTCATTTCTTTTCAACAGAGATAAACCCTTTTCCCTTCCAAACAAAGCTAAACTAANAGGAGACGCTCAACAACTTCCACGAGGCCGACAGCCCCGGCGCCGTCTCCCCCAACCAGCCTCGCCCGGCCCAGCAGCAGCCCCGAGGCCTGACCAACGGCAGCGCCCTGCCATCCCCCCACTATGCCCACGGGGGGCACGCCCAGCCTCCCTCCCACGCTGGGGGGCCCCCGACCATGTCCGGAGGGGCCCCATCCAGCCCGTCGTTCCGGAGGCTGCCCGTTGCGGGGAGCTTTGAAGGCGCCAGGCCGGGGCCTGCCGGAGCATCCTCGGTGGCGGCTCTTGCAGGGGCCACGGTGGCTCACTTCCATGCGGGGGCTGCCTCTGCCGGGGGAGCCATGGCCGGTGCAGCGAGTGGCAGGGCCCGCCAGGTGGGCAAGACCCTCACGAACCTTGCCGCTGCTGGCAACGGCATCACCCTGCCTGGAGGGAACCACCCTGGAAATGTGGCGCTCTCCGGCGGGATCGGCAACGGCACCGGGGCCCCCTCCAATGCCCCCGGAAGTGCCAGCCACGCAGCCACGGGGCCCACGGCCGCGGGTCATCTACAGCCAGCCGGCAGCACCTCCCGTTTCCGCGTGGTGAAGTTAGATTCGAGTTCGGAGCCGTTTAAGAAAGGCCGGTGGACTTGTACCGAGTTCTACGACAAGGAGAATCCCGGGGCGGTGGCCGAAAGCGCCCCCGTGGCCAAAACCGTGGACGCTCTCCTGGACGTGGCCTCTGAAAGGGAAAGCACCAGCGGGAGCTCCGTCAGCAGCACCCTGAGCCACTACACGGAGAGCGTGGGCAGCGGAGAGATGGGGGCGCCTCCCAGGACGCAGCCGTCGGGGTTCCAAGGTGTGCCTCAGCAGATGGAGTTCAGCAGCAGCGGGGTGCCCCCTGCATCAGCACCGGGGCTCCCCCAGAGTATGTCTCAGTCCCAGCTCTCCCACGTCCAGGCACACCCGCAGGAGGCCAGCTACCCTCCGCAGAAGCAAGGGCCGCACCCTCCCGCCTCGGCCGTTCCTTCTCCGTTGACTGTCGTTGGCGGCCATCAACCAACTCTTCCATTCACCCCGCCGCCGGCCCAGCCTGCCGGCCCAGTCGCCGCTCCACAGCCCCAGCTGTTACCTTTTGGGCAGGGACAGGCTCAGCACCCCGCCGCCCTGCCACCCATGCCTATGCCGATGGCACCAGGGCAGCACGTGAAGCCCGTCGCGCAAACTTCGCTGCCCGAGTACATCCAGCCGCCACAGATGCTTCCAGCTCCTTCTCTGCAGCCTGGGGTGGGAGTCGTCGGAAGCGGCCCAGCCGTGCCCGTCGCTCAGCCTCCCAGTATGCAGCTTCCTGTCCAGGCACACATCCCGGGGGCACCTTCTCAGTCCGTGGCGCAGGCCCAGCCGACGATCCCAGCCGTGGGTGCTCCCGCTGCCCTGATGAACGTCGGGCAGCCAGGCAGCGCCGCTCCCGTGGCCCAGCGGCCCTCCGTTGCCAACCAGATGGCTTCTTCCGTGCTGGCCCCCAGCACCGCTGTCCCCGCAGCCTCCCAAGCAGCCCCTGCAGGGGGCGCTCACCCAGGCTCCCAAAGTGCTCCCTTAGGCCTTCCTCAGACTTTGGGCATCCCTCCGTCGGGCAACCTGATGCCTATGCAAGGCACCGATCCTCTGGTTCCAGGAATGGCCCCGTTGCCTCCTGTTAGCCCAGTCCCTTCTGCCGGCGCTGCTCCTGTGCCCGGCCACTCGGCTTCCAGTATGCCCGCTGCTGCGCCCGTCAGCCTGGCTCCTCCCAAGGCCCTTGCCCAGCCTTCGGGTATGCACAATGGGACCCTGGCCCAGAACGTCTCTCAGCCTGCCTTGCTTCCCACGGGCCTCCATTTGCCGGGAGCCCCCAACTCTGCCCAGTTCTCCTCACAGTCCCTCGCTCAGTCTATCGCCAGCCGGACGGACGAGGCCAGGCGCCCTCTGGCAGAGTCCATCTTGGTTGGCTTGACCCATCCTTCTGGCGGCACCGAAGGCAGCATCGGCAGCTCCTTTGCAGATGGCAGCATGGTCTCCTCTCTCTTCCCCCTGAAGGTCCTTCCGCTGGCCGCCCTGGATGGCGAGGAAGACAGGTGAGGTCTTTTCGAAGGGACGTGCCAGGGAAACTGGACTTAGGTGACCGGTTCAGGCCTGGCCGCAAACCAGCTTTCTAATGAAGGTCTTGGAAGCTGAAGTTGGGTTGTAGTAATCGGAGGGATCGCTGCCAAAATGCAGGATGGCCTTTTTGGGGCGTTTCCAGAAGAAGGCAGTATCCTGGGGTGGGGTGGGGGGCGTAGCTGTGGGAAAGATCTGCAAACACTTAAATTTAGGGACCAGGCGATCTTTTCTTTGTGCGTAAGGGACTTAAGAAGTGCGTTGTTGGGAGCAGGTTGGTCCAAATTAATTCCGTATTCAGCACCGGGCTAAAATATCATCAGAAGCCTTCCCTTGATAGAGATTTGGGCTTTTTTCATTGGGTTGGGAGCGGGGAAATGGGGACAAATTCAGAGAGCACCCAGACTTGAACCACCCTTCATTCAGAATTTCCTCCCTCCCCCACCAGCTGTATTAAGGCCCCATTGTTAGACCATCCCTATATCGGCAAACCAGATGTGTATTTCCAGGATCTTTTGATTCTTTTACAGGGCAAAAATTCTGCAGAAATGTGGAGAAAAGAGGCTGGTTTAGGGAAGGGAAGCCTGCAGGGTCGGAATCCACCCCCTCCCCCCCCCAAAGGATGAGAGAGGAGATTTTGGGGCACGAAGTTGAAGTGGTTGTGTGTTGATTTAAGGTCCCATCCAAAAGAAAGCAAGGCAGAACCACGTGGCACTTGGAGATCATTTCCATCCTTAGCGGGAAAACGCATAGGGGGCCTGGGGGAATCAGCCAGAAGTCGAGGAGAATTAATGGGTGGGTTAGTTCTTTGTGACTTTTGAATTGATTTTATGCAGACAATTTCCAGTGCTGTTAGTTAGCGCATGGTCATTGATGGGGGATGCTGGGAGTTGGCTACATATATATTCTCTCTCTCCCTCCTTCCTTCCTTCCCTCCCTCCCTCCCCCTCTTTCTCCCTCCCTCTCTCCCACCCCGCTCCCTCCTTTCTCATCTCTCTCTCATCTCTCTATCTACCTGCCTATCTACTATCTCTTTTTCTCTCTCTAGCCCATTTACTCTTTCCCTCATCTATCTATCATCTCTTTCAGACCCATATCTCTAATTCCTTTCTCATATCTATCTCTCTTCTCTCTGCCTACCTGCCTACTTTCTCTCACACACATCTCTCTCCATCCTTTCTTCTCTCTCTCTCTCTAGATAGAAAGATAGATATAGATAGATGTATCCATCACATCTCTCCATCTATCCATCCATCCATCATCTCTATCTACCCCTGCGCGCGCACACACACACACGCACACACCTCTTACCTAATGATAATTTCAGCATTTTTCTTGTGGCAGAGACATTCAAAATGGGTGGACCCATTCATTGATGGGTCTTGTTCTGTAACATTAGAAAGTTGATTTATCTTTTTAGTGTTTCCTATTATCTTCCTTCTGCACAGAAGCCATCGGCCTAGGAGACCTGAAATCTCTTTACCATAATATATACTTTATTCATTAAACATGAAACTCAGCCAACGGAACATTCAAAAATGCATTACAAATACCAGTTACTGGTGTTCTAATGGTTGATACGGTTTGCTGCCAGCGTCCTAGGGTCCCAAGTCGTTGTTGTTGTTATTATTATTATTATTATTATTATTATTATTATTATTATCATCATCATCATCATCATCATCATCATCATCATCATCGCTATCCCACTTGGTCTCTGGAGTTTTTAACTGGAAATCTCCTTTTCATTCTAAAAACAACCACCCTAATGGTAATTAGCCTGGACCAAGAGAGGATACCCAGTGAGACTCTAGGGAATGGTTGGTATGTAGTAAGTTGGATATGTGTTGATTTAAGGTTGCACCCAAAAAGAAACCCCTGGCAGAAACGTGGGAACCCAGTTGCACCCAAAACCTTGGTCTCCCCACTCCGATTCCAGCCTCTTAATGGTGCTGTGACACAGAATCTCTGGGCTTAATCTGATGTCAAACAGGAATGTGCAGCTGTTCTGACAGTGAGGCACAAAACGTGCTTGAGGAGGGGCATGGGTGTGTTTCCTGCATTGTCCATGCGTCTCAGGCTGAGGATTGTCATCCTCGCAAGGCATCTGGGAAGCCACCAGCTTTGGGTAGGGTTGATTTGAATCCGTACTTGGTTATAAGCTGCGCAGATTCACCCAGGCAGAATTCTGGTTCCCAGGGAAGGTACTTCTTCCCAAGATGGAATATGTTTGCAAATTTGCATCGGTGATATCCAAGGGTGGAAGCAAAAAGATGAGGCAGCATAGCTGGATTTCTTTTGCATTATTATTATTTTTTCTTTCTCTTTCCATCCAGTCAAGTTTTGTCTGCTCGGTGAGATTCCAGAAGTAAAATGTAGTAAAACAGCTGCTTCACTCTTAGATTCCATTCATGAAACAGGCAGGCCGCTCTGTACGTGCGGTCCTCGACTTACGACCACAATTGAGCCCCAAATTTCTGTGGCTATGTGAGGCAGTGGTTAGTTGTCATTTTTATTACCTTTTTGCCAAAGGTGTTAAGCAAGTCACTGCAGTTTATTTATTTTATTTATTTATAGGGTTTGTATGCCGCCCACTCTCGAGAGACTCAGGGCGGAGGGGTTGTAAAGTGAAGCCCGTTGTTAAGCAAATCTGATTTCCCCCATTGACTTTGCTTGTCGGAAGCCGGCTGGGAAGGATACCACTGGTGCTCAAGTGACTCTGGGGCAGTGCAACTGGCATAAGTACGTGCCNGTGAGATTTGAACAGCCGAACTGCAGAACTGCAGTCAGCTGAAGTAGCCTGCAGTGCTGCACTCTAACCACTGCGCCACCTCGGCTCTATAATTTATTTATAATGAATAAATTTATTAATTTATTATTATAATTAATATTATTTTTACTTGTCAATTCTCTGTCAATGATACAAAGGTAGTTACCCCATCAGGTACCCTGGGTTAAAGAAATAAGAGAAAATCCTTCCCCCATCCCCATATACAGTGCATTAACTGAGTCCAGTTTACTTCTTGGCCTTGAGCTTGTAAAAAAAGAAACACCTGTTACCTGGCCTGATCGACTGGACCATAATGACTGGTGGATGTTTTTATTTTTTGTTTGTTTCACTCCCTGCAACAACTTTTCGATATTTTTAAGGAGCTGCCTTTAGGCAAAGTGGCAGAAAGATTACAGACACTTTTTCCGTTCAGCGTTCAAGCCTGTCTGAGGCACAGACGTACCAATTTATAATTTTTGTTGGTCTTCATTGGTCATTCTACATGATGCCCTTGATAGGTGTTTTTAGCGTCTATCTTGTTTCTCCTGACTCATCCTTCAGAAGCAGGTGGGCAGGATACATTTTATTTCTGTTTCTGCCTATCTTTTCAATTGCTTTTAGCTTTCAAAACTGAATCACCAGAAGAAGCTTTTTAAAAAAATAAAATAAAAACCACAGATATAAAATCGTGCATTGCTAAAAACAAAAGAGCCACACAAAATAAAACAGTGAATCGAGGGAGACAAACCAGGCTTCCCAAATTTTAAGAATTTTACAAATGTCAACAGCAGGTAATTTACTATATGCCCCCATGGATTATACGAGTAAGCCAGCCCTTTGGGGGTATGAATAATTAAGTTGTGGCTCAAATTCACGGGAGAGAAAACCTCTGCGACTGAGGGGATGTGCCTGCAGTGGATGTGACCTTACTTTTAAGTAAACCAAAGGATATAAAAGTCCTGAAGTGCCAGTCTCTGAAAATGGTTTATTTGGCTTTTGAAAGAAATTCATCTCTTGTGCCTTAACAGCCAGATGGCAGCTCCCTATCAGAGGTGGTGCACCTTATGTTACTGAGGGCACTCACAGTATGAGGGATCTCTGCTCGATCTGAATTATTCAGAAATGCCTCACTGGCACTGGAGCCCTTCGTAAAACATTCTGCAGCGTTAAGTCAGCAGGTGCAGAAGAGGAGGTAAGCGGGGAGGAGGGGAGGGGAAAACAGAACATCCACACTCTCTGGATTAGTTTCATCTTGAAGGAGGCAGAATAACAAGAGTTGGAAGGGACCTTGGAGGTCTCCTAGTTTCAAGTTTATTAGAATTTGTATGCCGCCCACTCCCATAGGGACTCTGGGCGGCTCACAACAGACAATAGCAATAGCAGTTAGACTTATATACCGCTTCATAGGGCTTTCAGCCCTCTCT